GAAAACCTCTCCTTTATTGTCCCTTCTCTAATCACGGAGCTATGCAAATTGACTGAAGTAGAGGTTCTTTTGGTTTACACTTGGGTGGATCCTAGACATCAAATTTGTCTCATTAAGATGTGTGGTAAGGGCACGATTGTGAAAATCAAGAAGAGGAAAGTTGACTCCGAAAACTCTGTACATCTGGAGGAGGATTCTTAAATACCTTCGGTTTTGGAGCCTGTTGAATCATTGGCTAGTAAGTTGAAAATTGTGAAGGACATTGTGATGAAGCTGCCCCAAGGGTCGGCTGAGTCAAATTATGGGCTGGTATCCTATGTTCCCCAAAATGAGTTTGATATCTACTTGAAAGTTCAGCTTGCAAATTTAGAGAAAGCCTACGCCGGTTTGGCGAAGTCACATGTTGAATTAAGCATCTCATACAACAAAATGAATAAGCAAGAGAAGAGTATAAACAAGTTTTTTACTCGGATGTGGAAAGGGGTTAAAGGCCTTTGGAAAGTGTTGAAGGCAAATGAGCCACTCCTGACTTTGAGGCTGGGGGAAAATGGAGATGAACTTGATGTATGGAACGATTATGGTGGAGCTGAGGATAGTGAGGCCACTGATACTAATGAAGATGATTGAGGCAGCCCAGAGAGCCCCTTCGTATTCTCTTTATGATTTTCATAGTTGTGGTGTAAGGACACAACATCATTTTTAGTTGGGGTGCTTCCCTTTGGGTTGTTTCTTTTGTTTGGATTGATGTTTTGGATGATTTTTTTTATTGTGTGGTTTTGTAATTTTTATGTTGTTTTTGCTTTTATTATAGTAGTATATTTTGTTAATTTCGTTTTGTAGTAATAAATTGTGATGGTGATGTTTCATGCTTGTATGCCTTGAAGCAGGGGAAGTCTGAGTACCCATTGCTTATGAGATTGTAAGTCATTCCCCTGAGTACCCATTGCTTATGAGATTGTAAGTCCTTGTGAATGCTCAATGAAAAGGCTTGAATTTTCCCAATGATAGCTCAAGTGACGTCATTCTTAATGGTAAATTGTCATTTTGTTTAGTGTTTTTTGCTTAGTGGTGCTCTGATGTGAGGTTGTGACTTGTTTGGTACTAATAGACTTAGTCAAGCCTTGTGAATCATCAATGATCACCCTCCGAAATTTCGTACAAATGGTGGAAGTTAATGACTTAGTGACAGTGTTTTGGCTCTTTTTGTGACTCCAACTCACTTGGTAGTGAAGTGAAAAATAACTCCTTTGTTTTTTATTAGGAAGTGAAATTGATTCATCTTGAATAGCTTGCATGTCAAGTGTGGTAAGTTGTTGAAAATAATTTCTTGTGTTTACTAGAATTTGCCTTGTCAGTCTTGAAATGTTGGTCTTGATTGAGTTTGGTTGGAGAAATGATCTTAGGCTTTCTTTGATTATTATTGAAGTCAACTTGGCCTAAAAATCACACCATTGCACTAAATGTATCCTTAGTTGTCCCCTTTGAGCCTAATCTTTTTTATTAACAACCACATTACAAGTCTTATCCCTTTTTTAAAGGTCTCCCTCTTTTTTACCCTTCCCTCATTGAACTTAAAGTTGTTAAAGTTGAGGCTAAAAGCCTAAGTTCAGGGTGTTATGGGAAACTCATGGAAAGGACGTTAATTAACGTTTCAAGGGCCCTTCATCCAATTCTAAGTGTCAACGATCGTTAGTCAGTATAAAACCCAACTAAATGAGTTGAGGTCGAATCCCACAGGGAGCGGTACGTGTTTCAGATTCGATTGGGAAGTATGAACATGGTCAAATCAGTCATAGAAATAAAAGTTATCAAATAAAGACATCATTCAAATTAAGGGGTGACACGAATGTCAAATGTGGGCTTTTAGTTTTGATTAACAACTACAGACAGTCACAATCAATGAAAATTAACAATAATGAGATGGGTTCTTGAGATGTGATCGATTATAGGCAATTATAGACGTATGGGTAATTGTAACTATTAGTAAATAGCTATATATTAGTGAGTAAGCTAGGCAATAGGGGAGGTAAACTTTCTCTCGAACAATTTACCCCGAATAAAGTGATTTCTTTCGAACATCAAAAAGCATGCAAAATAAGATCTACCCACACCTTAGTTCATTCACTCTCTCGAGCTGAATGTGTGGGATTGGGTTTAAGATTCACTCTCTCAAACTGAACCCAGGTCAACCCAACACCCACTAACCATCAACTAATAATTTTGGTTCTAAAACCTCTCTCTTGAGCAAGCCAAGAACACAAACATAGAACTGCATTTGCAACTGCAATTCTTAGACTAAACCACAATTACTGATTAAACTCACTTCTAAATAGAATTTAAACTTAAAATTAACAATACCCATAAACTAAATCAGCCCATAATCATATGATCACACCCCAAAATCATGGATTTAGCTAGACATTATAAAAAGGTAAAAATAGTTACCGAATTGATTATCCATCAACTCGGTAAGTGCAGATTCGTCCTTACAATTCTCCAATTTGAAGAATCTCAAAGACCCACTTCCAATTTCTCAAAAGTGAATTTCTTCAATCCCTCAAAGCTAAGGAAAAACTAGAGAAAAAACCATCTCCAGGTGCTCAAAACTTAATAATAGATAGTTCTAAAGAGTATTTGATACTAAACTAAATGTTCAAAAACGTATTTATAGTCGCCGAAAATGTGTTCTGAAGAGTCACTTGGCGAAGTAAGTCAGGCTCGTCGAACCACTAGACGAACCGCCCTTTGGTCTATTCCATCGCCCTTTTGCCTTGGTACTCAGCATCCTCCAGGTCTGTAACTTTGGGCAATCTAGCACTGCATCGCGGAACTACTTAGCGATCTGCCGACTGCTCTTTTTCATCATCAACTTGGTTCTTTCCTTTAGGGCTTGGCACACTGGAACTTTAGGCGGTTTGATGAGCCACTCAGTGACACGCCGAGTGATTTTAGCGATCCTCGAACTCTCCCTTCTTCATTTCTTCAGCTTGTTTGTTCCTTTTTTCCTGTTAGTGTCCTTGCTTTGTTCCTCAATCCATATACCTGAAAATCAAGGATTTAACATCAGTTATTGGCACAAAATAAGCATTTGAGGACACTAAATTTATATAAACAAAGCCCTAAATGAGTCCAAATCTTGGGCTCATCAACACCCCAACTTAAACTTTTGCTTGTCCTCAAGTAAAGTTCAAGTTTAGCAGTTCAAAAAGGATGTCTCAAATAGTGCTACAAAAGACTCAATCATGAATACACACAACAAGACTCAACTTACTCATGCAAGGATCAATTGTGCACTCAAAGATTCAAGTTTTGACTCACCATTATCAAAGATTCTCAAGTTCACAATACTTGCTTCAAATGCAAGTTCAAGCTCAACAAAGGTACTCAAATGCCCTCACAACAAGAAGAATGATTCCATATTCACACACTATTCTTCAACAATTTATAGTTCTGGAAACACACACGACTGTCACACTCACAAAGTTGAGCACATGCATGACTTCACGTAGAGGTTTGACCTTATTTTCCAATCAACATTCGCTTCAGCTCACGCAAGATCAAAAAGGTCTTTTTAAGGCTTGTAATGGAGCTGAGTGTAAATATATGGTCATTTAGACTAACTGGTTGCTATCCTCATGAAATGTGGTATGAACATCACTTTTCTTCCTTTTCTTCAGCAATTTTACTCATGCTCAA